CAGCTTGTCGCGTCTACTTCTGTCGGTTGCACAGACGCAGTCCGGGCGAGGGCCCTAAGACAGACAGGTCATGGTGTTCACGTTCATCTCTGTAACCGTCCTGCCCATCATTCAATTCCGACAACTTCAACTGTAGTCTCGTTGACTACGAATCACACACGCTTTGCTGCGATGGTTTCCTGACCGATCAACGGTGAGGAAATTCGGTTCGTTTAACAGAAGCAATCCTAATGTTGTACGCCCCGATGGGGGTTTTTAGATGAACACATGACTTTGCTTACTACTCAGACACCATATTAGTGCTCACCGGAACAAGCTTAGTCTTCGCTGACCTTTTGGAAAGCTGGACCGGTTCTCCTTTGTCAAAGCGTAAACTGTCATTATCAGTCAGCAATTTGAAGGTGTGGCTGTGCTTGTCGGCCGTCGGCTGATCGCTTTTTCCTCCTTCGCTGCCTTTCCTCTCATGTAGACTTTGGCATAGTTAGTATAGTTAGTATAGTGCTTCGTCTCTACGGTGGAGAATGCTGGTAATCCTTTTGCTTTTTCCGGTGGATTCGTCGCTGGGCCGTCTTTGCTTGCAGTCCCTTTGCGGCGAGTGCCAGATTCACATTGTTTGTTGATTTTCGGTTGCTTAGCAAATGCATTCCGTAAATTCTGCCCCCTCATAGCATCTGTTAACCTGGTATCCAAGCCATCGTCGTGTGTCCTCTAACCGGGGTCATGGTAGCGGATGGACACTGGGTGTCTGGCCAAGTGCCTGTGCTGCCAGTATGGTCAGTAATTACGTAAGCTATGCCACAGACTACTAGATGGCAGATTGTGAATATAACGCTGTTAGCCTGCTGTTGCTGTTGGATTTCGGCCCAAATATTTACATGACATTTTGGCCTGCCTTGCATCTACTGATCTACGCCAATTTCCAAATTAATTTATGAGGAAATTAAGAAAGCTACAGTTTTAAAATTGATGTATCTACTAGAAAGCATAAAACAAATGCTCGCAGACCCACTGGTGAGCCGAATTCCTCGTAGCTGCATCAAGCAATGACAGAATGCCGGCGAAACATGTATCTGTGCTGCCAGTATGGTCAATAACTACGTAGGTTTCACTACTGACTGCCTTATGACAGCTTGTGAACGCTACGCATTTAACCCACTGTATCTGATAGACTTTGGCCCAAATATACGTATCAACTTTCGGTCTGCCTCTGGAGACACTTGAATATAGTTATCTACTCCATGTTCTAAATTAATATTTGGGGAAATGGAAAAGCCACAATTTAAGCGCATCATGTTATCCGTACGGTGCA